CAAGAAATAAGCAAAAATTTGAGTTTGTCTGGTTCCTTTTTGGTAATGTAGCTCCGCTCTCCCCACACGATGCCCCAATAAAGTCCAAATTAAAGACTTAAGCCGATGACATGAACCGTCAAAGTTGATGAATAAATCAAAATATGGAGAAACTCTCTATGGTGGTTATAATTATTGTCTCCACATAAATGCAATCAATCAAAAGCTATAGATGTATAAAATATATGACAAAGGTGGATCTATTGATCGGTCATGTCATATAGGCTCGAATTGGACATCTAATTGCTTCGAATAGGATAGTTCGGTGCACAAAACATCCCACTAACGTGAGTTTGGGGAAGAATGCACCACAAAATATGTGATGTAGACAGTCTAGTCTACCATATACAAGCATTAATAACTGCTTTCACAGCTTGAATCCGTAACTTATACATAGATCACGAAAAATTGTTATTCTTTTAATGAGTTTCGCATCAAGTGTGGTCAAATACTTAAATATGTTGGAAAACTATTGATAATGCCAAAATAAGAACTGGTAGGTCAAGGGATTCATGTGGTTTAACAACTACAAGAAATGGTAGGTCAGTTAGTTCAAGGCCTAAGACAGGTTCTTAAAACTGCCTCTTTACAAGTTTCAATTGGCTCCCAAATGTACAGAACACTACTGATCCTGGCTCGAATTTCTCGAGCCAACTCGATAATTGATGTTCTTCTAAATGCCTCTTTTCAGGCTCAGGAAGAAAAGGTCTTGTGTAAAGGACTGATTGCTATGTAGTCACAACAATTAGCGGATTTTTAAAAACTTGTGTATCACTCCAAATTATCACTATGATTGTTAATTACACCTCAAACAATAGTTATTTTTGAAAATTTTCAGAAAAAAAAGAGAGGGAGGGGGCAGAAGGATAACCTGGTGGTGGCCTAACTTTTTCAGCTGCAGTTGATGCCATGAAAACACTCTTTTCCGGTGATCGAATCAATGAAATAGCTGATGTAGCAGGGGAAGCAAGTTTATAACAAATAGTCTTGATACCCCCAATTTCTAATGCTATTTCAGTAACCCAATGAGCAAAATCAAAGAAAACGAAATGGGGTTTTAGGTTTTGAAGAAAAGATTTGATTTCATCATACAATTCATCCATAGCTGTTGCTAGTAAACTTTCCAAAGATCTAGGCACATCAGCTGTAGTTTCAGCTCCATATGGAAGGCCATGGACATGAGGGATTTTGAGTGTGTGGAAAGTGATGAGATTAGGGTAAAGATTGAGATTTTGAAGTTTGATTTGTGCATTTTTGGGTAATAAGAATGAGATTTTGTGACCCTTTTTAGCAAGTTCATTAGAAAGGTTAAGAAATGGGATAATATGGCCTAATGCAAGCCATGGGAACATCACTATTTGGAGCTTTGAGTCTATGGACTCTGCCATTTTTTTGGGCCTCATTTTGTTTGGTTAGTGATGACTAGTTATAAACTCTCTATTCGACACGGATACAATAATATATTTTTTTATGTCAAGGGAAATCTATAGCCGCTACTCCGCTTCTATGCAATAGCTCGCAAATCACATAGGAGAGGTAACCCGCACTAGATAAGCCCAGTGGAACGAGATCCAGAAGACAAATCCCTTGCTTTCGCTGGCAAGGGATTTCAAACTTGAGACCTCCAACATTGATGATGCGATAATATTTTTCTAAAGAGCTTGAGTAATATATATGTAAGTTGAAGACTATTATACTTGTTTAATAAGAAATTGATCCACTCAAATTATCTTGTGGAGTAATAAAAGATTTTAAAATATATTGTTTATATAAAAGAATAGACAAACTCTACACTTAGTTTAATGTAAAAAAGATAATCTATACAATGTCCATAAATTTGTGACATTCATTCATGTATTGAGTTGTTAAATGATTCATGTTAAGAAAATCTGAACTTATACGAATTGACTCACATCACATACAGAGATGAAATCACAATTTGAAGTTTACACGTTTTGAATTTGCTGTTAAAATTCATAACTCATTTTAATTATTGAATTTGTAATTAACATTTATACATGTTTAGTATATTTTCTAATTTCTAATATAAATTACAAGAAATAAGCAAAAACTTTTGAGTTGGGCTGAATTCTTTTTGTTAATGTAGCTCTGCTCTGTCCACAAAATGCCCCAATAAAGTCCAAATTAAAGACTTAAGCCAACATGAATGACATGAACCAAATAAATCAAAATATGGAGAAACTCTTTGTGGTGGTTCTTACCTAAGTATAACTATTGCCTCCACATAAATACAATTAAGCAAAGGCTATAATGAAATTTGATAATTCGGTGCACAAAGCATTCCGTTCATGTGAGTTTAAGGAAAGACTGCACCACAAGAAGTGTGATATAGACAGTCTAGTACCTCATGCAAGTATTAATAACTACTTTCACAATTTAATTTTTTTCATGACAAGGGAAACTCACAACCGCTATCATTTGTGTGCGCACAGGGTAAAACTCTCGTTTCTATGCAATAGCTCACAAACCACATTGAAGAAGGCAAATTCCTTGCTTTCGCTGACAAGGAGTTTCAAACTTGAGACCTCCAATATGGAAGTCTCAAATCTAGCCACCCCAAAATTTAAATTTGTAACCTATATATATAAAGCATACTAAACCTATATGAGGTGAACTTATTATAAATCACAATTTTAAATCTATAACTTATAAAAATTAGATAAATTTTAGGAATCACATAATTTTTATATGAAATTACAATCTATCCATCTTTAGTTTGTAATTACAACTTGAAACTTAAGTATATAAAAAAATTTATTCACTCGAAATTTTATGTGTATTACATAAATTATTAAAAAATGGAGTAACATATATACTGGGCCGGTTCTAAGCTGTGTCGAGCGGTCATTTTGAGATATTCCTCCGTCTTTTGGAGTGATTTCATTAGGGTTCTTCTTCGTTTAACATCGGTGAGTTCTCTCCTATGAATCCTCTTGTTTTCGTTTTTATAGTTTGATTTGAGTTCTCTTTTTGTGTTTGATGTTGCTTGCCTTTTCCCAATTTGGGAATTGATGTGCGATTCTAGCGTGTTAGAAGTATATGTTCCTCCTAATTGAGATTCGTTCACCTGGAATGTGTGAATTCGGTTTGGTTTTTGGTGCTTTCTAGTTTCTCCGGTAGCTGATTCGGTATAGTAAGGTTTAGTGGTTTACTGTCTGAAAAAAAAATATAAGCTTTTGTGGTGAGAATTGGTGGTGGGTGTAGCTGTTGTATGTGCTGCTGCGGCGGCGGCTTTCTTAGTGTGCTCAAATATGAAGAAGAACAACTAAATCTTGAAACTATGATATCTGCAGATTGCTTGTTTCTTAAAGAAAAATGTGATCTTTAGCATTGTGTAGTTGAAATAATATTCACTGACAAACAAGGGTACCTCTTCGTTTTTAATTGGAGGTTTCAAGTTCGAGCCTTGAGTATGAGGTGACCCTTTTTCCCGAGTAAAGTAATGACTTTATGGATGGGTATGTTAGCATGTGAAGAGCTTTCGCCCGCTAGCTGTTTGTGAAAATGCTAAAACGAACCGGACTCTTTCTATATACTACTACATCTTTGTGATTGTTTACTATAATGCTGGTGTTGTTTTGTTATTTTGTGTTTGTTCTTGTATATGGTCATAGGAGAGAAAAGTCCTCAAACATGTTTGGGTATACTGTCCGTGTGTTTTGGAATGAAAAACGATAATTGACTTAGCAGTAAAATTTCTCTGGCCATCAATGCTCTAAGTAGCTTTATATGTATTTGCATAATATTGATGCCATGCAAGCAAAACCTAGTATTTAAGTGGTGAAGGGTAAAAGGGTTTGCCTGTTATGCCGAGTTCCAAAGGTTTATGGTAGGTCCTAAGGGTTGGCATTAGACAGATTTTGCTGTGAGGGTTCATGTATTCGACCTTAACTTGTTTGTGACAGAGGCATAGTTGGTAGTTGTTATTGGTGTTGTATCAACACTCAAGTAGCTCCTTGAGCCACTGCCAGCCTAGTGCCTACCCAAACCTAAACCATTGAGAACGACCATCTCCAAACAAAAGTAACAGCATCCAGAAGATGAAGATGAATTGCTTGGTTTTATTTCATTTTTGGTGTAAACAGGAGTATATGGAAGATCTAGAATCAGTAATGAATGCTTTAGGCACCTTGTAATTTTTGTTATTTAGGATTGAAGATCTTCCTGATACTCCTTTTATTTGTAATTAGTAAACCTGTAACAAGTTGTGGCAGGTTTTATTTTTTGGAATATAATACAAGACTGTTACCTTCTCAAAAAAAAAAACTGAAGATTCTTTATAAGTGTGAACTTATCTGTGATAATTGTTAGTTTTTCAGCCATTTAGCTCTTATATATTTGGAAAACTAAAACTTCATTCTCTTTTCAGTTGTCTCTACCAAATAAGCTAATGGGTGACAAGAAGAAGGCTGGCGCTCTATTCGTGAGGCTTGTTTCAACTGCTGGAACTGGATTTTTCTATGTGAAGAAGAAGACCAAAACACTTATAACAAATCAGACGAAGCTTGAATTTAGAAAGTTTGATCCTCGTGTGAATTGTCATGTTCTGTTCAAGGAAGAAAAGATGAAGTGATGCAAACGCCAAACTTGGGCCAAATCTTCTTTTAACTGTTAGCTTTCATTTCTGCAGCAGCCAGTAGTGAAATTAGACAATAGGACCTTTGGCTCACTTGTTCTACAACAACAAAGTTTGTTTATTTTTATTTATGCAATTCTCTGAATTTGTTCGTGATCATGTTGAATGAAACATAGTTTTTGATCATACGATTTCAAAGAAACGATTCATGTTGAATGAAACGTAGTTGTTGATCATACGATTTCAAAGAAAAGATTTGATTTGATCATACGATTCATCCATAGCTGTTGCTAGTAGACAATAAACACGGAATAAAGCATATCCCACAGAATGACCATTATCAGATGAATATGCTGGAAAACTATTGATAATGCCAAAGTAATTCTTCATTTCACAGCTCAACTCTCTGCTAATTGTGTCTAATAAATAAATACTGGAAGGAGGAGCATTTAAACTGATACTCACTGTTACAAAAGGATCTTAAAGTTTCATACTTCATGTTTAAACAACAATTATACAATGCTTTTGATTAAATACATAGGCAGACGGTTACAAAGGCTCTTGTGACTAAAGCTGATCAAACATAAGACATCATCTTGGACGTTTAGCGCCAAGGGGAAAGGATACTCGTTGAGGAGTACCTTGAGGTACGTCTGTCTTTTCATGAGAAAGACTTGGATTTTTGCTTGGAGCTGGGTTGGGATCAGCGCTTTCTTCGTCCTCCTCTGTTTCTTCTGGTTGGCTAGTTTGCTTCTTTGCAATAGCTAGCTGATAGTTAGGGTTGATCAATGTATCTTGTTCAGGAGGGAGTGGTACTCCAGACCCAGCAATTGATTTCGGCAACGGAATCTTGTTTCTGTTCCTAGCCAACTCCAGTAGGACCTGATAAACAAGAGAATATTATAATTTCTGAAATGCAGAAAAGTAAAAATTTGAGCAGGGAAGACAAGTGAGATTGCTCAAGTAGATAGAGCACTTCCTTTCCAACCAAAAGATCAAGAGTTCAAGTCACAAAAAGCAGTTTCCGAAAGGACTCCTAGGCAATTGTTTTCATTTTATTGGGGTGGGTGAGGGGGTTTCACTCTGCCATATCCGAAAGAGAAAACATACATACATGCAATGGGAAGTACTAACTGGATTTAGTTGGAGCTAGATGGTCAGCTGAACTCCATGAACAACCAAGTGCATGCTAGTTGATGATTAAATCAAATTTTCAATTCATCAAGGTGTCACATGTTAGATGAAGCTAGCTCTGTGTAATGAATCCATATTTACTGAAGAAGCTACATATGATTTTTAGTACTGCAGTAGAAGATAAAACAGAAAAGGGAAGTTCCAGACTGCTAAAACTTTAGCTAAGGAAATAAAGATACAAGTTCTTCAATGCCCTGCTATCTGTGGTTGCTTTCCTTTTATAGCCCAAGTCATGTGTAGTCAACCAGGCTCCCACTCATCATAATCTGCTAATCTTTTACTGGGTTGTAAGCCCTAGTACTGCATCTTAATTTATATGCAGGCCCAAGTAGATCTTCATGCTCTCCAGGCCCAACCCTTGAGTAGAGTTCATAACAATACTCGGGCCCTCAATAAGAACCTTGTCCTCAAGGTTCAAGACAGGGAATTCATACTCATGAGTTTTCTTAGCTTCATTGTGCATGGTGAATACATCACCAGAATCGAATTCATGCCAAGGAAGTCTCAAGGCACAATCTGCAACCATAGGAACATAATACACTACTGAACCTTCACTAATATAATTCATTGTTTGTAATTCTAATGGACTTTTTCTCAATGGGTCCCCACGCTAACATGATGAGTGCCAGGATCATTCTGGCAATATCAAAACTTGCACCAGTAATGGTCATTTCTTCTAGCATCACAGCGAACACAGTTCTTCCTCCTCGTTTCTCAAAAGCAACAGATATATATCTTGGCATATCTTCTTCTCTACTAATTTCATCATTGCGAATAAGAGGGAATGAATAATCTCCATAACTCTAACGCTACCTCCACTCAAATTATCATGGTACTGAAATAATTCTTTGTCTGTCCAGTGTCTCAGTGATTTCAGAACAGTATCGAGTATCCTAAGAGGCCCCTTTGTTCACATTTGTAGCATCATGAGCAACTTGACTAAAAATAGCTAGTGATGCACCAAAATTCACCTAGCCAGTTATACTGTATTGCTCGAAAGAACACCCCAGCAGAAGACAAGTTATAAATGAACCCGTTAATACCAGAGATAGACAGTGCCACAATACCAATCCAAGAAAAGAAACAACCTCACTGAGGATCATAATATAGTTCGTCAGATGAAAAATAGCATGTGCGGAGTCATCCAATGAACATGATATCTAGAGGAACCTTCGACTTTCCAGGGAATACTTAAGTAAAACAACAACATATCTGGAGGAAGCAGATTGTTGCTAGACCAGTCGAATCCACTGAGCACTAAGAGCCACTGGTGAGCAGTAGCCTTCCATAGCCTTACATCCAATTTTTGTATGCATTGTAGGTGCCCTTTCTTTCCTTCGGACTCATTAAGGAAGCAATATGCAAATGGATATTTAAATAAACTTGGATAGTGCGCAAATAGCCAGGATATGAGAATAAAATCCTTCGATGTAAAATGCGTTAATCCAACTAGGTAGTGAACTGGCATAGCATAGAGAAGAGCAGCAAGTCTGTAATTGCAAAAGCGAACACCCAACTGACTCAGCAATAGAGGGATGAACTATATTATTGCAAGCTGAACCATCCGGCGTCTATCCTCAGTAAGTTCAACAAGAACTAGCAGAAAGGATTGGGAGAGCTGATCAATTCGAATCACCTGGTTCACGTGTTTTAGCTTACTAATAATATTCAAACGAACTTGAGAAGACTCATCCATCAGCAGAGAAAGAAATATTTGGAGAAGATGTTCAACAATTGTATTCTTCCTTGAAATAAGAGTCATTCCCATCATAACCAAAGAATTAACAGATAGAGCATGTTGGCAAGAGAAGTCGTGCATAGTACTGCTAGTTACTCGTGAAATAGAGCATCTAGTATAACTAGTAAAATACAACTCTACTGTACAGCAATTGGGGCATTGGTCTTCGCAGCGAATCTTTTTGCTGGTTGGTTTCATTCTCAATAAGAAAGCTCAGATCGAATCAGTATTGGTCAAGTTGTCGTTGCTTATTTGGTAGTGTCTATGCAGCCTTCTATTGGTGATTATTCTAGGAAATCCTATGCAAATTTTTTGAACTTGGTAACTTTATTCTAGGAAATTCTATGCAGATATTTTTAACTTAGTGACTTTATTCTAGAAAATTCTATGCAGATTAAAAGTGTGTATTTTACTTTTTAACCAATCGTGTTATAATACTTTGAATGGTAAAAATGGTTAGTCAGCTAACATCAGAAAGTTGATCCAGAACAGCAAACTGTTAAGAACTCCAATTGCCAGAACCCATTCACACCCTAAAAAATTTCCTGTAGAACCTTCAGCATCTTCTGTTCTGCATAAGACTGAAAATTTCTACACCACTACCCCAGCATTCAACCACCAATACCTCTTGTTCAACTTTTCAAAGTCACGGTAATAAACCACATATGATAGCCCCAGACTATGACCTTTTTTTCCTTTTTGAAATAGGTCACTTCCCAAACTATGACCTATTAGTTTGATACCTTTTCACTAATTTCAGTAATAACCTAAAATATATAATTATGCCAAATGACAACCGAAGTTCTGAAACACGTTACAAGAGAACAACATAAAACTCCAAGACAAATTTTTTAGTTACATCATATAATTCTTTGATTCAGAGAGTCTCCATTTTACTTATCTTTCTTAGACAAGAGAGGGCTAAAGGTTATCAGTTTCACCATACACCTAAAAGGTCTCTAATAAAGATATAAGTTCATTCTTGGAAGAATGAAATACCAGCACAACAATGAAGGATTTAATAAGACTTGGTACCTCACGCGGCGGGGGTTGTGAGAAGCTGAAATTAACTTTTGACTGAATGGCAAGCTTGATGTCATCAGAGTCAATGGAAGCCTTCCCTGCATGCTCTGAGTAGACTTGAGCATCCGTCAGTACATCAACAACATAGCGATACCACAGTTCCAAAAATTGTTGCACAACTCGAGGCTCGTAGTCATCAACACCCATTGATTTTAGCAACGTTTTGACAATCTTTGCATCCCTTGGCAAGTCCTCTTCTCCACCTTCAGCCATTTCTTTCAAGGTTCAACCTAAAAAGAAACATTAGCCATCAGCATCATTTCATACACGTCAATAGTGTCAATATAGAGTTGCAGAAACCAGATAGAGATGGAGATGTGATGCACTACAAGTTGTAATCAGGAAATTGTAAAACATAATAGTAAATATTCTGAAAAGCATCAGAGTGAAATTTTAAGTAGAGAGACATTCGTCAAACAGCTATTCTCCATATACGCAAAAGAGCAATCCGGAAAATATTTAGAGGTACAAAGTAAGAACACTATGAAAAGGAAAAAATAAAAATAAACTAAAATGATAAAACAATACCCAAATTCCATCTGTCTAATTGAATCCTGTTGAGGTCAAACAAACACTCAAACACAGCTTAATAAGTACATTAAACGGAATTAATTAGATCCCTTTCTCCACTTCAAGAGGGGTGATAATGGAACCATAATAGTTTTGAAATTTATGAGATGGAGGAACACAACAGGACACCCTTAAATTTCAGATATAAAACCATTGTGGGAGAGCTAGGGAATGAAAAGCAGAGACAAGTATTACTATTATTTTCTAGTTTCAAAAAAGGAAGCAGTGACAAGAATTATAACACACATACCTCACAAACTATCATACATTTCCCTTGGTAATAACACAGGAGAGGAGCAATCTTTTCACCTTCTTCAGCTTCTTATTACTAACTAATTTTAAGACCATCTATAAGCTTTCACTTCACAAAAAAATAGAAAATAAAACACCACAAGAAAGGTAACTGGGACAAGAAAAAAACACCAAGAGTCCATGTCAGCACGCAAACGAATAAAGGTGCTACTTTAAGTCGACGAATTTCAACTCCACCAATCAATTATTAGAATGACATAGTAAAAATACTAAATAAAGTTATGACTTCCACCCCATATTTAGAGACCGAATAGCACATCATGACAGGTAACAAGAGTCCATATAAGCAAGCAAACGAATAAAACTGCTACTTTAAGTCAAACCAATTTCAACTCCACCAATTCGATTATTAGATTGACATAGTAAAAACACTTCACAAAAATAACTTTCACCCAATACTTAAGAGGCCAAATAGTACATCATCACAGGGTTATTTTGAGCCATTTTATCACATCAGAAGCAATTAACAATGTTAATGAAGCTATAGAACTCAAGAAACAGCAAAGTACACCCAATTACCATAAAAATGGATGGTTTTGAACCTTAATTTAACCCTGCTTCAAGTTCAAAAAGTTTTGACCTTGAAGGTTTGTCCATGAAGCAAGTGCGGGTCAAAATTTCAAGACCATCAACCTCCATACAAGGCCGGCTCAACCCTAAAACCACTAAAGCAGTGGCTTCAGGCCTCAAAATTACAAATCCCCCAAATTCAGTACGAGAAAAGGAAGCTCAAATACGAAAACATACCGAAGATGCACCACAATTCGAGCAAGAGACAAGATTAAACGAAGAACCAAAAGCACTGAGCAGACAAAAGATGAAGGAGATACATACATAAAATCTGATGAAGGCTGAGAAGCACCGTATTAAGCAATAATAGCATACTTGGAAGAACCAAAATACCCTAAGTAGAATATTAAAAAAAAATTATGTATTTATTGTTACTATTTATTAAAAAAAAATTTAATAGTTTGTTGGTAATCATTTATTAAATAATTTTTATCATCATTTGAACAACCTTTTCAATAATCGTTTGTTATAAGAAAAAAAAAGTAAATTTTAATAGGTTTTAAGAACATTTCAACATAAATTAAATGATTTGACATGTCACAAATCTCAAGAATTATAAATATATAATGAATGATTAAAAATATATTGATATCTAATCAATTTTATCTTTTACATAATTTATCATAATATATGCTTGCTGATATAATTGTCTTGTTAAAATTGAGTGATTTTTTTATGTAGCGATGAAGCATCACTTTTTCTATTTTTTTGTACATGAAAAATATAGATTTTAATAATTTTATGGTTAGAATAACTCCTTGTTAAAAAAAAGATGTGAAAGTTTTCGATAATCCATATTAGTTATAAATAAGTTAAGACCGTTAAAAATATACACCGAAACAACATAAATAACTTTTTTTAGAGACAATCTACTTGTCTGAGGTCAAACGTTCACCACTTTTCGTTACTGTTACTTTGTTACTCTAACAAAATTTATAGAAGGAGAAAAATAAATTTGAAACAACAACAAAATAATATTGTTGACCCTTTTAGAAATTCATTCTTCATTAAACTGCGGCTCTGAAGGCCCTTCTAAATACTTCATCAATGCAAATTTACGACTTTTTCAGAAATATGTACGTATAATTGTTGCATTATAAAAGTACAAGTAAATCAAAATGTTGGATTCTAGACTCATGTTGAAAAAATATTCTCAAACATGAAAAGATTAAAAATGAGTCTAACCTAGATAACTCAAACGCTCAACAATGATTTGGGACATGAAGGACAACAAATCTATGTTAATAGACATATCTTTTGTAGCTTAAGATATTACTTTTATTTATGGTAGGTTTTGTTTCATATTCTTCAAATTAAGCTTGCCGAAAATAGTCATTACTCACACCAAAAATATTTAGAAGAGTCAAATGAGAAGGAAAAAAAGAAAAAACTTTAGAAGGACGAAAGCTTTGTCCAAATGAGATCATATACATACCAAACGAAAAATAGTCATTACAATTTTAAGGAGACAACAAAACAATGAGAAAAAGCATGCATCAAAGGGAGTAAACTTTGAGATATCCAACGATGATAACAAATCATTCTAACCAGAAAACTTCCTATGTTTTGAAATAACAAACCTCAAAAATTTGACTAACACTTCAATCAACTTTTAATCCTTAAAGTACTCATAATATTCACTGATAAAATTTAGTAAAAATAGATAACTTACAATATAAAAACCAAAAATATGGGCATGCAAAGTTATTAAATCTCAGATGATTTTTAAAAAAATAAAAAATCTCATTCTTGTATGTGAAGGAATGACGTTGTTGGTGAAGAAATTAGAGATTTGTAAGGGATTTTTTTTATTGTACCTTCAACAATTCTAGTAGAGAAAACTTGTCTGAATACTCAATTAACTTTTGTTATTTAATCTGTACTAACAAATACTTATAACAATAACTTTGCAAAAACATAAACAACAAAGCTTAAATCATGTACTTAAAAACAACAATTAATAATATAAGCATAAATTAATGACGGTAAAAAGCATACCAGGATTTAAGGAAGTTAAGATTTAAGTTTATCGTATTTTATTTTCTAAGTTTTTCAATATAAGTCAATTTTAAAGATACTTTTTCTAAACTTTTTCAATTTATACTAAGTTTGTAAGTTAAGTTTTATTAAAGTTATTTTTTCTATGTTTTTAAATTTATGTTATAAGTTTTTAAGAGTTGAATTTTTTTAAGTTAAGTTATGACTTGTAATTTAAGTAACTTAAGTTTGATAAATCTTTTATTTAATTAAATTTATATTATTTGAAGTTGATGAATTAAGTTTGTAATTTAAAAAAAAACAATAAACAAAAAAGAAATGCTAATAAAAGTATAAAACAATGACAAAAATTTAAAAATCAATCCAATTTATTCAAATTTGTATTACAATTACAACTATTAGTAGAGTGTCTAATTTATGCAGCCACCTTCTAAGAAGGATTTTATTTCAACTAAGCCTCGAATGTAACACTAATAATTGTATAGTCCTAAAAAGCTTTTCTTTAACTTAGCTAAAGATTGACCGTTATCAACTTCTGGTCTTGGTAAAGCTTGTTGATGATCTAGAAGTCCATGCCATCGTCACTATCACATCCAATGGCTGAATCTAAGAAAAGTTCATATTGATTATCTAACTTTGGAAGTTCTTGATTTCTTCGCTCGGCATTTATCCAATCTCTAAACAACACCGTTATCTCCAAACTGTCTTCTGCTAACGAATATTTGTGGTCTCCAATTTGAAATTTTGCTGCGCTGAAAGCTGCCTCCAAAGCTTCTGATGATCCTTGAATTGCAAGCACATCCCTCACCATCCTACTAACTTTTGGAAATTGAGTTCCACGAGCCCTCCACCAGGTCAATAGTTGTGGCATACCTTCCTCGTTTGTAATATTATTTGAACCATATGTTCAAGATATTTAACAAATTCATATTTATTAGAAGAATCAAGATCAAGTTTATGTTTCATTCTATCATGGGCACTTACTCGAGGTATAGAAGTTTGAGGATTTTCAACATTGTATTAGGAACAATATTTATCATACATTTCTTTAGCAAGTAATTTGATGCTATTTTGACATGTTACCAAATCAGGTTTTGTGTGATTGAATATCTAAATTTTGATAAATGCATTCAACTAAAGCTTTTGCACCATATTCTTTATATCCAGGGGTTGAAAATAATTATAGTTAAATAATTTGAGGGATATGAAAAAAATATTTTCTTAAATTTTATAATCATAGCTTCAATAGCATTTGTAAATAATCCATTTGTTTTATATTTAGACAAAAAAGAAGATGAAATCTCATATACATGTATTAAAATTTCAGTAATAGTAGAATAATTCATTTTAGAATTTTTTTTAGTAGCATCATAAAATGATTTAAAAAACATTCTAAGTTCATTTACTTCAGTTCAATAATTATCATTAAGTTTTAAATCAGGATAAGCATTATGAGCATTAAATTGCATAGTAATAAGCTTTATATATGCATAAGCAATTTCAAGTATAGCATCAAGGAAATGCCATCTAACTTTTACATGCTTTAGAGCTTAAATCAGAATAAGCATTATGAGCATTATTAAATTGCATAATAATAGTTATTTTTGTAAATCACTCAAAAAGAAAAGAGAAAGCTTTTGTATGCCCTATGACAAACACAACACTGCAACCCCAAATTCAGGACATGTACTCTACCCCAAATAATTTGATATTACTCAATATATATTATTTTATTTTTCTTTTTAACTGTTCGATATCTTTATTTATTTTACGTGTCCGAT